CATTCACCATGCAGCTGGCCTAAAAGCTGTCCGCTTCTTCCTCTCCCGCAGGCCTGACCAGTCCCCCTCCACCGGCACCCTTATCCGCCTAAACGAACTCATCCTTACCTTTAACAATTTCTCCTTCAACTCTTCCCACTTCCTACAGACAAAAGGGGTGGCCATGGGTACCCATGCCTGCCTCTTTGTAGCATATGTGGAACAGTTCTTATTCCGCAACTACACTGGCACCATCCCCCACCTCTTCCACCGTTACATCGATGACTGTATCGGCGCCGCCTCGTGCTCCCACAAGGAACTCGAACAGTTCATCCACTTTACAAACACCTTCCACCCCAACCATAAGTTCACCTGGACCATCTGTGATACCTCTCTCTCCTTCCTGAACCTCTGTCTCCATCTCTGATAACCACCTGTTCCCAATTCCTTTGCCTCCGCCGCATTTGCTCCCAAGATGAAGCATTCCACTCCCGGACATCCCAGATGTCCTCATTTTTTCAAGGACCGCAATTTCCCCTCCACAGTGGTCGAAAAACGCCCTCGACCACATCTCTCACGTTTCCCGCACCTCGGCCCTCACACCCCCTCCCCGCAATAACAAAGAAGACAGAATTACCCTTGCCTTCACATATCACCCCATCAACCTCTGGATTCAAAGCATCATTCTCCGCCACTTCCGCCACCTGCAATCTGATCCCACTACCAAGCATATATTTCCCTCCCCACCCTTGTATGCCTTCCGGAGTGACCGCTCTCTCCGTAACTCCCTTGTCCGCTCCACACTCCCCACTAGCCCCACCACCCCCGGCACATTTCCCTGCAACTGCAGAAGGTGCTACACCTGCCCCTACACCTCCCCCCTCACCTCCATCCCAGGCCCCAAGAAAACCTTCCACATTAAACAGATGTTCACCTGCACATCCACTAATGTGGTATATTGTATCCACTGTTCCCGATGTGGCGTCCTCGACATTGGGGAAACCAAGCGGAGGCTTGGAGCCCGATTTGTGGAGCACCTACGCTCGGTTCGTGACAAACGACAACGCCTCCCAGGCGTGAACCACTTCAACTCCCCCTCCCACTCCTTGGACGACACGTTCATCCTGGGCCTTCTCCAGTGCCACAACGATGCCACCCGAAGGCTGGAGGAACAACACTTCATATTCAGCCTGGGAACCCTGCAGCCCAATGATCTAAATGCGGACTTTACAACTTCAAAATCCCCCCACCCCCCCAACCTCATCCCAAGACCAGCCCATCTCCTCCCCACCTCCTTGGCCTGTCTGTCTTTTCTCCCGCCTATTCACTCCTCCCACCTCACTGACCAACACCCACCCCCACCCCCACTTCCTACCTACTAGCCTCATCCCCGCCTTCTTGACCTGTCCGTCTTCCCTCCCACCTACCCGCCCCTCAGTGACCAACTCCCATCCCAACTCCCTACCCGCACTCACTTGTACTGGCTTCATCCCTGCCTCCTTGACCTGTCCGTCTTCTCTCCACCTATCTGCTCCTCTGTCATCGCCTCCCCCTCTATTTATTTCAGAGCCCCCTTCCCCTCTGCCATTTCTGAAGAAGGGTCCAGACCCAAAACGTCAGCTTTCCTGCTCCTCTGATGCTGCCTGGCCTGCTGTGTTCAACAATCTTTGTATTGTCTGTAAAATTACTAACCCATCCATCTGCATTTTCATCCAAGTCATTTATATATATCATAAACAACAGAGGTCCCACTACACATCCTTGCAGAGCACCATTAGCCATGGGCCTCCAGCCTGGAAAGAAACCTTCCATCACTCTGCTTTTTATGGGCCGGCCAATTGTGAATCCACGCAGCCAAGTTGCCTTGGATCTTATGCATCTTAAGCTTCTGGATGAGCTTACCATGAGGGACCTTATTGAAAACCTTAGTAAAATTCATCCAAACAACATCCTCTGCTCTACCCTCATTGATCACCTTTGTTACTTCCTCAAAACTTCAATCAAGTTAGTAAGACGTGACCAACTTGCACACAGCCATGCTGATTGCCCCTAATTAGGCCAAGCTTTTCCAAATGCATGTAAATCCTGCCCCCAAGAATTCTCTTCAGTAGCTTCCCAACCATTGATGTGACCTCACCGGTCTAGATTCCTGGATTATCCCTATTTCCTTTTTTGAACAGAGGAACAACATTAGCTACTCGCCAGTCCTCCAGGACCTCTCCAGTGGCTAGCGAGGATATGAAGATCTTGGTCAATGCCCCAGCAATCTCCTCTTTTGCCTCTCACAATAGCCTGGGGTAGATACCATTGGGCCCTGGGGACCTATCCACCTTAATGCTCTTCGAGAGACCCAACACCACTTCTTTGTTCATCTCAAAATGCCCTAGCATATTAGCATGCTCCACACAAATCTCACTGCCCTTCACATCCTTCTGGGTGAATACCCACACAAAGGACTCATTTAGGATCTTGCCCACATCCTGCCTCTAAGCACAAGTTCCCTTCTTTATCCTTGAATGGCCCTACCTTTTCCCTAGTTACCCTCCTGTTTTTAATGTATGTATAGAATGCCTTGGGATTCTCTTTAGCCTTACTTGTCAAGGGTCATTTCATGGCCCCTTCTTGCTCTGCCAAGTCCCTGCTTGAGTTCTTTTCTGCTTTCTTTGTATTTCTCATGGGCCCTGTCCGATTTTAGCTTCCTAAACTTTTTTTTCGTTTTGACTAAATTCACAAGCTCCCTTGCTTTCCAAACGTCCCTTACCTTGCCATTCTTGTCCTCCCTTTAATGGTACCTGCCAGTCCTGAACTCTCATCAGCAGATCTTTAAACAATTCTCACATGTGAAATCTGGACTTGCCTGATAACAGCTCTTTCCAATTAACACTCCCAGGCTCTTGCCTAATACTGACGTAATTTGCCCTTCCCCCAATTTAGTACCTTGCCACAAGGTCCTGACTTGTCCTTATTCGTAGCTATCTTAAAACTTAAAGGAGTTATGATCATTGTTTCCAAAATGCTCGTGCACTGAAATGTTAGTCACCTGGACAGCCTCATTAGCCAGTACAAGGTCCAGTATGGCCCCTCCTCTAGTTGGACTATCTGCATAGTATTTTAAGAAACCCTCTTGGATGAACTTAAATTCTGACCCATCTAATCCTCTTGCTCTAAGGGAGTCCCAGTCAGCATTGGGGAAGTTAGACACCCCCCCCGCTATGATGACTGTTGTTATTGCATCTTTCTATAATGTACCTACATATTTGTTCCTCTATATCTCGTAGCTGTTGGGGGAACTACAGTATAGTCCCATCAGAGAGATTGTACCCATCTTATTTTTGAGCTGGACCCATATTGCCTCAGTGAATGAGCCCTGCAGAATGTCCTGAGTGCAGATGTGACATTCTACCTGATCAGTAATGCATCTTCTACACTTCTTTTACCTTCCTCTCTATCTCCAACAATGAAACCCTAGAACGTTGAGCAGCCAGTCCTGTCCTCCTCTCAACCAAGTCTCTGTAATGACCACAACATCATAGTCCTATATTCTGATCCAGGCTTTAAGGTCATCTATCTTGCTTATAATACTCCTTGCATTGAAATAAATACACTTCAGCCCATTAGAACCATTGTGTTCATTTACCTGTCTCTGCCTGTTCTTCCTTTCTGATTAACTCGTCCTAACATGTACCTTCCCCTCAGTCCCTCCACTTACTAACCTGCTGCTCTGGTTCCCAGCTCCCTTTCACCTTAGTTTAAACCCTCCCAAGTAGCACAAGCAAGCCTCCCTGCAAGGATATTGGTTCTCCTCCAGTTTAAACGCAACCCATCCTTCTTGTACAAGTCCTCCTGCCCCAGAAGAGGTCCCAATGATCAAGAATCCTGAAACCCTTCCCCCTGCACCAGCTCCTTAGCCACACATTCATATAAGGGAATCTTTATGTTCCTTACTTCACTAGCACATGGTATTGATAGTAATCCAGAGATTACTACCCTCAAGGTCCTGCTTTTCAGCCTCTTTGCTAACTCCGTGTACTCACTCCATAGGACCTCCTCCATCTTTCTACTTATGTTATTGGTACCAATGTGCACAACTGCTCATCCTTCCCTTAAGAATTTTATGCAACCACTCACAGATGTCCTTAACCCTGGCACCAGGGAGGCAACACACCATCCTGGAGTCTCCAACGTGGCCACAGAAATGCCTGTCTGTGCCCCTAACTAGCAAGTCTTCAACCACTATTGCTCACTTGAATCTTGCCCGATACTGCTCTACAGCAGAGCTAGTTCTTGTGCCACAGGTTTGGCTGCTGCTGTTATATTCTCCTGAGAAGCTATCACCCCTTAACAGTATCCAAAACAGTATACCTGTTAGAGAGGGGAATAGCCACAGGAGACTCCGGCACTACCTGCCTGCATCTCCTGGCAGTCACCCTGACTCAACCAGTGGTGTGACCACCTTCCTGTAACTATCGTCTATCTCACACTCTGCCATTCTGACATTCATGTAAGCCTTGTCAACACCTAAGCTGTTCTGCAATCCCAGTGAGATGAAAAGTCTGAATATTTGGAGAAACAAGTTTCTGTAGAAAGGATCAGAGAGATGCCAAAGGTGAAACATTTTTTGGTCCAACGATTGGGTTTTCTTTTAAAATCTTTGCTTTTTCTCCATTTACCTAGTCACGTGCTGACTAAAACTAGACTTACTTGTGCTAGTTGGGGGAGCTTGGTGATCTGATTATTATCTATTTGGAGTATTGTTATGAATTTATGAATGACTTTTAGTACAGAGAAGGGTTCTGTTTAAGGTTTCGATTGAAGTTTTCATCTTTTAACAGTCCCTCCCTACTAGATTAAAGCCTTGATCTCAATTGCAAGCTGATGTGCTAGAGTGCAGTTTCAGCACACAGCCTCTTGGCTCATTGAAGCATGTTGTAAAACGAAGGCAGCCTGGCATCTTAAAGTAAAATCAAGGTTTTAGAAAATTGTGATTTTAATTTTATATTAAGTGACTTTTTTCTTACTAGCAGTTCATTAACCCAGTCAATGGATTCTGGTGGGACAGACAACTTTGTTATTATCAACCAATTAAAGGAAGAAGTGATGTCTTTGAAAAGGCTTCTGCAGCAGAAAGAACAGACTATCTTGGAAAGAGATAAAAAGGTAGATTAAATGCTAACAGGTACAGTCCATTTCTAGTTGATAGGCAGCATTGCTGGTGCTTTTTTGCCCTTGTATTTGTGGGTTAGGGAGGATCAAGAAAGCCTTTAATCATGTTCAAATTGCTGTCTTATGCTTCTAACTGGAAAGCTTACGTATATGGTATGATGTGAAATGTATTGCTCTGTGATTTCAAACATTGACTTGTACTAGAATATCTTTTATACAATGTACCATATAATTTCTTCAGGGAAAGAAATTAGGAAAAGTAACGTTTAAACAATATGTAACGTTCTGTGAAATAAACTGGGGTTTCAGTATTCAAATGCTGCTTTTTTTTCCAATCAAAGCTGACTGAGTTGAAGGCAGATTTTCAGTACCAGGAATCTAATCTTAGAGCAAAAATGAACAACATGGAAAAAGCACACAAAGATGCAGTGGAACAGCTACAGGTATTTTCCCATATTTCAATATTTTTAATTTTGTTCTGTTCCCTGATTTTAACCTGACGAGAGAATTTAGTTAACTAATATCTCAATTTTTAAACTCTAATAATCCAGTGTTTATTTGACATGGTTTGTGTTGCCTGGAATAAAATGTCATATTGCTACATGCTAGCTTTCTGATCCAGAGATGTTTATTAATTTCATACTTGCTGTAAAACATTTAATTTTTTTGGGGAAGTTTTTTTTTAAGATTAAAAGCTTGTTTAGTTGTATATGTACTGATAAATTTGCAGTAAAATAAAATACTTCTAAACTCTTAGTGTTGAAAGAATAACTGCATATTTCAGTTTGAAATAGTGGATTTGGGCATCTAAGTGAAATGAGTGACTAAAGCAAACCACTTAAGCCGCAGTCATTTTTATTTCAATGTTTACTTCAGTGTTTCCACTTACAACTGCCTTTGCTGATATTTACAAGCCAATATTGTAAAGTGTGATTCCAAATCATGTCTGAAGAGGCGAGGCTTGTTAAATGGAAAAGGGCCTAACAGAGGTAGGATGGCAGGGCTGAAGGTCGTTTCCATAGTGTATTCCAGTATTGTGATGCCATAAGGTGTGGTTTGAAAGAGAAGTTTTGTGAGCACAGGAGCACCTTCAATTACTGAACATCTCCAGAGAGGCTGTTCTGGGATCAAGAAGAATTTGAAAGGTTGAAATCATGGAGCTTGCTGTATTATCTCATTATGTAGAAAAAAGGGTACAGGAGAACTAGGTCCAACTGTTGGCCTCCTTTTTGAAGCATTCAGCATCAATCATGTTTCTACCTTTTATAGCCTCCTACCTCAAAAATAAGAAGTGCTGGAAGTACACAACATATTGGATGGCATCTTTGGAGAGAGAGTTTGAATTTCTGGTCTGTGACCCTTCAGAACACTGGTGGAAAATCGCTGACCTAAAATATAACTCAGTTTCTCTATCTATAGATGAAACAAGAACTGTATATTTCCTCTTATTTTTAGGTTTTACTTTTATTTCAGGGCTCTAATATCTGTGGTATATTTGCTTTTGTGTTGGCCTCTTTCTCAACGAGTCTGCAGCTTCGAGTCTTCAGGTAAATTCTCTCCAACCTGTCAGGAACCTTCAGGATCTTTAGGTTTCTATTGAGTTGCATCTTTTTTAACTAAACTCCAGCAGATACAACCTGAGCCTGTCCAATCTTCCCTCCTCAGACAATCCATCCATACCAGGTACTGATATCGTAAACTTCTTGACTGCTTCAATGCATCTGCATCCTTCTTTAAATAATGTCACCGATGCTATGCACAGTACTACTGATGTAATCCCATCAGTGCCCTGTATATCTGAAGTATAATCTACTTTTGATTTGGTTCCCCTTACAATAAACTATGACTACTATTAACTTTGCTAATTACTTGTTACGTTAACCTTTCATGATTCATGGACTCGGACACCCTGATCCCCCTCCAATTCTGAGCTCTGCAATCTCTCACTAGTTAGATATTTTGCTTCTTTGTCCATTTTGGCAACAAGTGACAATTTCATCTCTACCCCAACATTTTCTTTGCCAGATCCTTGCCCACTGATTTATCTATATTCCTTTGAGGCCTCGATGCCCTCTTCTTACATAGAATCCCTACAGTGTGGAAGCAGGCCATTCGGCCTATTGAGTCCACACTGGCCCATTAAGTCAACAACTTCCTCCGAAGAGCATCTCAACCCTACCCTATCCCTACATTTCCCATGGCTAATCAACTTTACCTACACATCCCTGGACACCATAGGGAGTTTAACATGGCCAATCAACCTAACCTCACATCTTTGGACTGAGGGAAGAAACTGGAATCACACAGTGGCTGAGTCATCACAGCAGAATTCTGGGAGACACTGCCACAGTTATCACAACTGTACAGCAATCAGAGAGAACCTGGTGTCAAGTTGTGGTTAAACCTGAAATCCTACATTGGTATTTCGCACCATTCCTCCTCCTCCTCTGACCAAAAAAATGCCCTGTGAGGTTGATGACTAGCAATGTAAAGTTGTACAAGGGAGCAGCCATTAAAAGAGCGGTCCAGCGTTAGAGTAGAAGTGCTAAGTCCGTTGCTCGAGAGGTTTCGGCATGAGGGTGAGCAGGGGTACAGGTAAAAGCAGGTAAAGGCTCTTTAACTCTACTTTCTGTATAGACTGAAGGCAGTAGGGATGGCAGTTAGAACAGTGGCATGCTCCTCTTGCAAGATGTGGGAGATCAGGGAGACTTCCAGTGTCCATGGTGACTACACCTGTGAGAAGTGCACCTGGATGCAGCTCCTGACAGACTGCATTAGGGAACTGGAACTGGAGCTGAATGCACTTAGGATCATCCGTGGTACAGAGAACATCATTGATAAGAGCGATAATGAAGTGGTCACTCGTAAGGTGCAGTCTGCAGAAAGCTGGGTGACCACCAGAAGGGATAAGGGGGAGAAGACAGATTTTGAACAGGGGAACTGCACTAATAGGTTTACTGTTTTGGATACGGTTGGGTGGGGTGGTGTTGGGGTGCAGGGAATGACCGTTCAGGGCCTAGCAGTAGCAGTCAGGTCAGTCGCACTGTGACCAGCTCTGAGGCTCAGAGGGAAAGGACGCAGTCAAACAGAACAATGCTGATAGGAGACTGAAATGTGAGGGGGACAGATAGGAAATTCTGTGGCTGCAAAAGAGACACCAGGCTGGTGTGTTTCTTCCCAGGTGCCAGAGTCAAGGGTGTGTCTGAGCAGTTGCAGAACATTCTGAAGGGGGAGGGTGAACAGCCAGAGATCATTGTGCACATTGGTACAAATAATAATAGGTAGACAAAGGGATGGGGTCCTGCGAAATGAGCATAGGGAGTTAGGGAACAAGTTAAAACTCAGGACCTCAAGGGTAGTGATCCATGGATTACTCCCAGTGCCAATGAGGTTAGAAATAGACAGGTAGGCCAGATGAATGCGTAGCTAAGGAGCTGATGTAGGGGTCAAGGTTTTCAGTTCTTGGATCTTTGGGATCTCTTTTGGGATAGAAGTGACCTGTACAAGAGGGAAAGGTTGCACTTGAACCAGAGGGGGTCCAATATCCTGGTGGGGAGATTTGCTGGTATTACCTGGGAGTGTTTGAATTATTTTGGCAGGGGCGTGGGACTCTCGGTAAGAGAAAGGCCATTAAGAAGTCAGAGGAAAATACATTAGCCAGTGAGAGCAAGTTTACTATTCAGGATAGCCAGGGGCACAATAATAGGAGGGAAAAGACTTCTGGTTTAAAGTGCATTTATTTCAATGCACAAGGCCTGACTGGTAAGGCAGATGAGCTCGGAGCATGGATTAGCTTTGGGGACTGGAATGTTATAGCCATAACATAAACATGGCTGAGAGAAGGGCAGGACTGGCAGCTCAATGTTCCAGGATACAGAAGCTACAAGCATGATAGAAGTACAAGTAAGTGAGGAGGGGGAGTTGCCGTTTTGATAAGGAAGGACATAACAGTGCTTAGAGAGGATATTCTTAAGGCATCATCCAATGAGGCCATATAGTTACAACTTAGAACCAAGAAGGGGATGGTCACCCTGTTGGGACTGTATTATAGACCTCCAAATAGCCAGAGGGTACTAGAGGAGTTGATGTGTAGAGAGATTGTAGATGCCAGTAGGAATAATAGAGTAGTATTTGTTGGAGATTTTAATTTCCCCTATATTGACTGGGCCACGCAGAATGTAAAAGGCCCGGACAGGGTGGAATTTGTCAAACGTGTCCAAGAAAGTTTCCCAAATCAATATATAGTGGGCCCTACTCAGGAGGCTGCAACACTGGACCTCCTCTTAGGAAACTAGGTTGGACAAGCGACTGAAGTGTCAGTTGGAGAGCACTTTGGGTCCAGTGACCATAATTCTCTTAGTTTTAGCATAGTTATGGAAAAAGATAGGAGAGGTCGACAGGTTATGGTGCTAAACTGGAGCAGGGTCAATTTTGAGGCCATTAGGCAGGATCTAGCAGAGGTTGATCGGGTGAGTCTGTTTGAAGGAAAAGGATCGACTGGCAAATGGAAGGCTTTTAAAAGGATGATACCAAGAGTCCAGGGCCAGTATGCCCTGTTAGGGTGAAGGGAAAAGCTGACAAGTTTAGGGATCTTGGCTGACGAGGGATATTGAGGCCCTGGTCAGGAAAAAGATGAAGGCATACATTGGGTTTAAGCTATCAGCTCAAGTGAATCCCTAGATGACTATAGAGTGTAGGAGCACACTCCAAAGGGAAATCAGAAGAGCAGAAAGAGGGCACAACATTGACCTGGCAGATAAGGTTAAAGATGGTTAAGAGGTTCTATTGTTATATTAAGAGTAAGAAGATGGCTAGGGAGAGAATAGGTCCCCTTAAAGGTCAGCAGGAGATCCTCCACAGGAGACAGGAGAGATTTTTAATGAATATTTCTCCTCCGTGTCTACTGAGGAGAAAATCATCGATGCTAAGGAAATAAGGGAAACAAGTGGAGATGTTTTTGACCACATACACATTACCAGAGAGGAGGTGTTTGCAGCCTTAAAGCGTATTAAGATGGATAAATCCCTTAGGCCTGATCAAGCCCATCTTCGGATGTTGTGGGAGTCTAGGGAAGAAATTGCAGAGGCCCTTGCAGAGATTTGTGCTTAATCTTTAGCCACTGGTGAAGTTCCAGAAGACTGGATGGTGGCTAATGTTGTTCCACTGTTTACGAAAGGTAGCAAAGACAAGCCGGGGACTACAGGCCAGTGAGCCTGACATCGGTGGTAGGCAAGTTATTGGAGAGGATACTGACGGACAGGATCAAGCAACATTTGGATAGTCAAGGTCTGATTGGGGATAGTCAGTATGGATTTGTGCGCGGGAAGTCATGTCTGACAAATCTTTTAGAGCTTTACAAAGAGGTAAGCAAGAGGATGGATGAAGGTAGGGCAGTGGATATTGTCTATATGGATTTTAGTAAGGCCTTTGACCCAGGTCCCAT